CGTTTTACTAGTCCTCGTTTTACTAGTCCGCGTTTTACTAGTCCGCGTTTTACTAGTCCGCGTTTTACTAGTCCGCGTTTTACTAGTCCGCGTTTTACTAGTCCGCGTTTTACTAGTCCGCGTTTTACTAGTCCTCGTTTTACTAGTCCGCGTTTTACTAGTCCTCGTTTTACTAGTCTTCGTTTTACTAGTCCGCGCTTTACTAGTCCAGTCCAGTGCAGTCCAGTCCTCGAAATACCACATGCCCGTTTTTATACATAGGAAGCGTCATAAAATCATTTTATATCGCAATAGTTATGGTATTTGATTCCGTTTCTATTCACCACGCGAGGATGCGAGGCACATTTTTCGGTGGTTCAAGGGCCTTTCGGAGGCGAACATTCAAAAAGATCATTTTTTCGGAAAATATCAATCACAAGAAACTGAATCTTGTATATTCTAAAATAGTTTCATAAGGGATTTAATATGACAGAGTTTTGGAGATTTCGATTTTTCCATCTTGCACACCTATCCGTGGTATTTACAGAAAGTCGCTCTTAACGGACTTACTACTGGAAATGTACGTGCAAACTGCAAAAAAATTCGTTTTAGCAAAGTTTTCAAGTTATTTCTACACTAACAATTGACGACAAAAAACAGCTCTACTCATCGAGGTGCAGAAAAAAAATGAGTGGGAATTAGCGCCACCTTCCTGATTATTCATTTTCACTCTCAGTCAGTATTCACGCTTGCTTGACAATTTACCTTGAGTGAGAGGAACCTCGCGGAATCTAGGAAAATGACCGGTCAATCCATAACTAGTCAAATTGGGTCCTCGGCAGCTAATATTTTTATTTCTTTTATCATCGTACTAACCACACAGTATTATAGATAAAAAATAAAAAGGACTTCATCTTACAACATTGGGCAGGACCTACCACTTCTGACTCAACAACTGACAAATTGATCACCTATGTTATTAACTATTGATCTGTTGTAAAGTTATAAATTAGCAACAAATCATGTAACTAGATAAACCTCGTTGGAACATGATCTGTGTGTTCTATACTCTAGGTTTTTTATTCCTACTGCTCAAATTCTTTGCGAGCTAAGGCGAATTTGTTCACGGTTGTCCCTTCAGCTCCATACTATTTTAGTCTTTCTATCATCTAGCCGAAGAACTGAAAGGTCTTCACAGCGTTCAATGGTCCTTCAAGTAAAAGCGTTGTTGCTCTGCATCATCCCTATCCTTGTGAAAAGATGCAAGAGACTGCATCAAAGACCTGGAATCCTCCCTCGAATAAAATGTGATTTCCATTCCATGGTACTTTCCATGAATCTTGACGGGTGGAGGGTACACTGTTTCATAGCAACTACAGAGACGTTAAGAACCATCAATCGAGTGTCGTAAATAGTGTAGAATTGCTTCATTTTATTTTTCACTTATTTTCGCTATAAATCATCATTAATCATTTGCAGTGTCCATCAGCAGGCTGCGATTGCCCTATTTGTTTCCTTAGTCTGTTAACCTGTTAACTTCTTACGAAAAAAGAATGCGAGTGCTAAATTGAAGAAAAAGGGGCCGGGTTGCAATCTAAACAATATAATGATACTATTTCATTAATATCAATATCTTTTCTTTTTTCTACAGCTAAGTACGTACCTCTTGCAATAAGCGCCAGCGTTAGCAGGAGCATCACATTCACAACAATTGCCGGAGAATCTGCTATAACATCTGTAATGCAATAAATATTAAGTGATGAACTTACTATATTTTTTGTCAAGCCTATGTAAAACTCGATAATAGCTTTCGACCGGAGGGGCTTGTTTCCTTAATGAAAAAACTGCGAGGAAATTCAAGCTTGCTTTTGTAGGGCTCGTCACTGGGCTCTTAGAAGTTTCGGTATATGTCACAGGAAAACCGGCCACCCAGAGAGGCGTAAAAATAATCGACAAAGGAAAGGGAAGAATACATCCAGGAAGCTAAGCACTCTATCATAAATTCTTAATGTCCGATCCTCGCCAAAATAAATAGCGATAATATCCTAAGAGATCCCGAACGAAACGACACAGCGAACGTTTCCAGATAGACGGGAATTTCTGACCTTAAAATAGTTTTCCTATCCGTAGGATATGAAGAACATCTTTCGTCTCTATCTTTCATCAAAACCTGACGTAGTTAAAAGTCAACTGAAACCGCACGAGTTAATAATTTGATTATATGCATGTTCAGTGTCATTTTGACTCACTTGAAAAAATAAGTATGTTAGAGAATATCAACGAAAGTAATTGACTCCAACTTTCAGAAGATTACACAGATTCTAATTGACACAACATAACGTAGAGACCTTTACTTACGGCTTTTGATGACAGTTGCCCATTGTAGCCTCGTGAGCGCGAATTGGCCTTTTGCAGTAATCACAGACTGGGTAGTGTTTGTCGTAACACCTGGAAGTATTAATAGCAAATTACTTCAAAATATTATTACAGGTTGTAAAGGGTAATTCCTACTCGAGGTATCGCTGCCCACTTGACTGTGATCCATCATCTAGCTGAGCCTTTTTAGAGAGAGAATTTCATCAAAAGAAAGTCCTAAAATTAGAAAAAAATTTTGATCGAAAGTCCCTTTTAAAATAAAAATAGGCAAAGTGATTTTACTATAATGCACTTTTAAAATATGTGGTTTCCATGTTTTAACATCACTGCTGAAGACTTTTGAATGAAGATAAATTGCAAAGGAACTTTTATATCCTGCTTTATCAACAACAACAATTAGCCTGAGCTTTTTTGCATAGCTTTGAGTTATGACAGCATCAACAAAGTATGTAACTAAACAAGAAGTAGTGGGGTTGTGATAAATAAGAAGAATAATCACTAACCATCAGCCTGATCACGGTAATAATAAATCACAGCTTAAAGATTATGGCGATAAATGAATCTCGCTGATTGAAAGTTAACAGAATGATTATCAGAAGTCGCTGGCAAATTTATCAAGAAAATGTGGGGATAGTGACAATCAGGGCTTTATAGTCCTTAATATGGATTCTCACCCTGGAAATATCATTTTCAGTATTCATTTTCGAAGTCGTTTCCGTCAAGAAAACTCGGTAAGATTCTCGACTCTTCCCACCTCAGCTGACTCGATAGCTTTCGCAACTCCAACGCATAATGTTAACTACTTCCTGTCCCCTTTCCACGAACCTAATATTTATAAATAAGAATCGCCACTTACGTTAAATCTTAACGCAATTTATCGACACCCATTTGCGTGATAAATTTAAGTGAAGATTGTACTGCTGCCGATGATGCTTTCGTTCTCTAGAAAATCTTCACTATATGAGTGCAGAGCACTGAATGAACTCATCTGAAATTTCTCTTTTCCTTGAAGTCGGTTGCCGGCGCATCATAAAGAGTGATCCCTCCTTCAAATGAAGCTGAATGCTTCGGTTGATTTGTCTTTAGATCAAGCATATTTTTATCTGACCCTTATTTTGATCTCTTACAACTTTAAAACTTTGAAGTCTACCTCGCCTTGGCATCTTAGCAACAGAACACAAAAAACCAACACTGGTCCCTCCTTGTCCTATTTTGAGAAGTTGTCTAAGTGTTTCAGGAATGACGTCTGATTTTTTTTCGCCATCGCACAACACAACAGGGATTAAGGAAGCAACAAATTAATTTGTTAACCACTAGCAATAACGATAAATATTTGCGTTCACCTTGAGAAATGGTGTTTCTGGTGTTAAGACAAAAACACTACGTTAATGTATGCTAACAATGGTGGGGGGTCGTTCGTTCCAATTTGTATAAAAAATTGGTACTGACTAATTTTGTTTTGGTTGTATTGTGGTCGCACATGGAGCTATACGACGGTGCTAAATTCTTGTGAAAACATTGATAAACTTCCTTATCTAAACAACGATGAAAGGTTTTGATTTCATTCCCGTGACTTCAGTAAAACGCAGTGCGGCCCGAACAAATTCTGTTTCTCTCTGTGATTTCGCTGCTTTTTATTTCGTACCTCAACTTTCAACAACAAACCCAAGATATTCTGATACTTTTGTATCTGTTTAGTGCGACGTCAAGAAATCATCATACGCTTTGCAGAAAGAAGAAGGCGTAGACGTCGACAAAGAATTATCAGAGCACATCCATACTTCTGGACGCTTCCTCGCCCGGCTGAATTGTGTTTTGAAGTTCATTACTAAGATCACACTATTCCAGATGATTTATTTCGAACGTAGCTCCGAATGGGCAGAAACACCTTTGATCTTTTATTTAAAACTTTAGCACCGCGACTTACTTGACAGAATACCCGCTTTCGGAATGACAATATCAAATTTCCAAAGACAGCCGCTGAAACTGCGACGACTGTTCAAACCTTTGAAGAATTATCAGCACTTGCAAATATAGCTGGAGCTATTGGTGGAACGCATGTGAGAATTTCAGCTCCCAAAGAAAGCGTAGCAGACTATCTTAGTCGGTACTAACAGCATGACTTTCTTATCCAGGGAGTTGTAGATGGAAAAATGCTTTTTACAGACTTTTTGTCAGGATTTCGAGGTAGTTTACATGACGCCCGAGCCTTAACAAACAGTGCTGTCTTTCAACGGATAAAACAACGGCAGATTCTCACTGACCCTGTAATTCAAATTGGACGTAATCGAATTGGACTATATTTGGTGGGAGACAGCGCATATCCTCTTAGTCCATGGCTACTGAAACCTTTTCCAGAAGCAACAAGAAATCCAAGAGAGATTGTTTTTAACAAAGAGCTGTCATTCGCAAGAGTAAAAGTAGAATGCGCAAAGTTTGGCATAATGAAAAGTCAATGGCGAATATTGCAAAAACGCCTAGACCTGGCAGTGAAATCGAATTTTCTTGCAAAATAACGGTAGCATATGCCGTTTTACACAACTTTTGCCTCAAAGCTAGAGACCAGTGGGATGATGATAATGGTCCGGATTGTCATAACCAAAACAGACAGTGTAAATAATCAGAGATGGTGAGGATGTTAGAGATGCCCTCGTAGATTATGATATTGACTAGCCAAGAGCACACCATGGCCAGTTAACACACGATTAACAATTTAATATGTAATTTCTTTAGTCTTGTTACAGTTCTTGTTTACGAAAAGTCAAGATCTATACACATTAATCAGAATTCGTATTTGGTCGCTATAAAACATTGGCGTTCAGAACAAAACCGAATTTCTCTTCATTTGAGCCTTGATAGAATGTGCATACAATGTTCAGCTGAAAGTCTCCACGTAAAAATTTACTGCCTTCATTAAATTGAATCATTTTTTGGTTTTGTTGTTGCTAGAATTAGCTGTATTGGATTGGAGACTTGGGTCATAGCACCAAGAAATGTGTTCATGGTTTGTATCTATTGATTTTGCATCTGTTGGAAGGACGACATAATATCCTTCATATCCTATCTATGCTCCTTCATGTCGCTCATCATCTGATCAAAAAATCCGTGTTCCTCTTAGTCCTGGTCCTCTAACCGCTGTCTCTTCCTGCTTTTTTTTCTGTCACTTCTATTCGGGTGATCTGACCGCATCTCCTGCTCGCCTTGTTCAAGACTCCCCTGTGCAACTGTGGAAGTATCACCGCCCTTATTAGCTGTGTTTTCAGTGGCTTTTCCCCCAACTGCCCCGGCCTTAACAACATTTTTCATTGTCACCGCATCACGGCATCCAATCTTATTAATCTCATCGTAGAATACCGACTTCCGAATATTGGCTCCGGTCTTCTTGGAATTCGATGTCCTTAGCCTCCTAATAACGGTCGATTAGATACTTTATTTTCTTCATGCACTTTTGTGATGTCTTGCAGCATCCTAAGCGGCTGTTGATTTCATCACATATCCTCTGCCAAATTTTCTTGGCACCTTTGCTTTCCAGACGCTCAAAGTTTTCCACCCAAAGTTGAACGAGAACCTTCTGTTCCTCTTTTGTCCGCGTGTCATACGACTGTTCACTGGTAGACTTCGAAGACTCCATAACAGGCGGTGGAGAAGGCGAACTGGAGCCACTCTTGTTTCCAATCGGGGTCAAAGAACGACTAGTCGACGGGGATGGCGTTGGTGAGGGCTACATGTTTTGTATTAAAGGCCGTAACAATGGTCCTCTCCGAGAAGCTTCATATCCCAAATCGGAAGAGAGATTTATTGGAAAATACGGTCTCTGAAACCCATCATCAAGACCAAACCGACCATTCATGTTGAGCGCCTGAATGCGCGCTTTTACTGACAAGAGTTGTTTTGCGTTAAATTCCTGAAATAAATATGCAGTTGACATTTCTAATGGATTTTTGTTTTCTTTGGACGATTTTGGGAAAATCTGCCTGCCCCACCCATACACTACGGCATCTTTGATCGTTTTGGTAGACGGGTAAATTTTTTGAAAATTTCAACGAAAGGGTCGCACTACCAAAAGTTAAAAGTTGACATGATTTTTGGTAAAACAAACAACATTTGCTCTAGTGCGACCCATACCAACGAAGTCTTTGTTTCTTCAGTTCCATTCTTGTTGCAAGAGTCCAGCACTACCTTCACTTGGTTCCTGTTTAAAATTCAATTCAGTCTCACCGCTGGCCCCATTATGTAGGATTTACACCGCTAGTAAAGTCCTCTTGTTTCCAGAAATACTTATAACCCTGGTGGTGGTAATCCCAAAATTTTCTTCTTTACATACTTCTCGTGAAAAAAGTAAGTTTAGCTGGGTGGAATGGGATAATAGTAAACCTTTTTTTATCATCTCTCTCTTTTTGTATATATATTTCTCAGTACATGCATGCAGCCATTAAATATTGTATTCACGTTGTTTCCCCGAAATTACACTTAGAACTCTTATCTCTTGTTGTGCTGCATTTCCAAAATTTAATCTTCATTCTTTTTCTAATTTTAGTCAATATTTACACAGAAGCTTCCAATCGAATAATTTCATTATGGCCTTGCTATGACAGAAATGTCTAGATTTAGAGGCGACATTAATGTCACAGACACATGACAAGGCTAACAACATTTCAGCTTGGCTAGATTAGCCTAACTTGGCTTTTTTAGAGGAATTCCATGAATTGCTTAATCATCTTGCTTTTTCTGTTAACATCTTCCGACCCGTGTAACCATAGAAGTTTGTAAAAAAAAGTATTTTTATCACATTGACAACCCTTGAGAATTTTGGTAGAGCAGAACGCTAATCTCTTGTTGCACAATATTTCAGGAATTTATCTCATGTTTCCCTTCTTTAACTGGTTTGCATAACATCGTTTGTGGCTCACCCAGTGTGTGTTTACTTTGCTAACCTCTTGAGAATCTTGGCACAGCAGGAATGACATTGTGATACGTAGGGTAGATAACGACCCCGCTAATCTGTAGTTGCGCAACATTTCCAAGAATGTCTCTGTGTTTTCATACCTTAATTTGTTTGCATAGGATCCATTCCAATCGAATAATTTCATTATGGCCTTGCTATAACGGAAATTTCTATATTTAGAGGCGACATTAATGTCACAGACACATGACAAGGCTGACATTTCAGCTTGGCTGGATTAGCCTAACTTGGCTTTTTTAGAGGAAAACCATGAATTGCTTAATCATCTTGCTTTTTTTGTTAACATCTCCCGACGCGTGTAACCGTAGAACTTTGTAAAAAAAGTATTTTTTTCACATTGCCAACCCTTGAGAATTTTAGTAGAGCAGAACGCTAATCTGCACAGTATTTCAGGAATTTTTCTCATGTTTCCCTTCTTTGACTGGTTTGCATAACATCATCTGTGGCTCACCCAGTGAGTGTTTACTTTGCTAACCTCTTGAGAATCTTGGCACAGCAGGAATGACATTGTGATATGTAGGGTACATAACGACTCCGCTAATCTGTAGTTGCGCAACATTTCCAAGAATATCTCTTTGTGTTTTCATACCTTAATTCACGGTTTGCATAGGATCCATGGATTACCTCGGCAATATACATAATAGCACCGTGGGTAGAAATTTTATATATGAACGACTCCAATTTTCCTGATTTTTCTCAGCATCCTTTAGATAAGTGCATTTATCTAAAGATTCATACTGACATTCCTTAGAGGCTCACCCTTTGTGCTCATTCCAAAACTTTGTACTTAATTCATCAACTATGGGATGAACGAACGCGTATGATTGCGAATAATGACACATTTTCCCGATCAAAAATGCTGCTTTGTGCTGTACCCGTATAAATTTTGAGTCATGCTTATATTTCTTCTAGAAATGAAGCTTTCTAACTTATTTACAATATCCGAGGAAGACAAGGCAGGGTCAATATCATTTACTTTGTCAAAAAAGCTGCAAACATTTCTTCCTCCCCCAGCGCAACCGAAAATGGAGGTTTCCTATTTATGCTTCCAGTCAAAGCAGTAGTTTGGACTTCAAGAATAACCCAACGAAGTTAACATCAATGGAGACCAGTCAGTGAATGTTTAAGTTAAGGTTGTAAATGACCATATCTACACAGATGCACAGCCACTAGATTACGGCCTATATGGATCTAGGGACGTGGAGTCCTAGAATTACCACGGAAAAAAGGAATTTTCGCAAATTCTCGAAAGAATACGAGAACGTAGTAATGTAAAAACTACAACCGAGCCTTGTAGATGAAAGGAGAACCGATCTTTGCGAACGCAACTTGCCTTTTCATCAAGAAAACATGCAATCTTTACACTAAGCCCGTAAACGTGTTAGCACTTTGCTGGGAGAGCGATCGCCTTTTCTACTTCGTTGCTGATTAATAATGAAGGAGAAAGGCAAAAGAAGGTAAGTCTTTTTGAAAAATAACCTTTAGTGAGCTGAAGGCCTTTCTGCGTTTTTTCAGACATGCTGACTCATCGTCTACGCACCTAAGTTGACCCGGTGTAGGAATGTCGTCTCGCGAGAGGTGAAAGAAAGAAGAAAGTTTACAAACCGGGGGCAGTAGAATCCATCTTTTGTCAACCTTCCACATGGACATTTACTCGGAGACTGTCCCATATTTCGCAGGTATGCTTAAGGGTGAAAGCTTGGTCAAACACTCTTTTTGAACAGAACGGCTTGCTTCTGGCTGATACAGTGCAGAAGGTGCGGTTCTTCCAAAAACATCGGTATTTTAGGTTAGACGTAGAGTTGACGTCATAGTCAAAACATCCAACGCCTACGCATGGCTCTCGGTTCCAGACCCCATGATTGTGCGTTGAGTTTTTCGTTATAACATTTACTTAAACTATCGGAGGTGAGGAAAGCCGGCAAAGAAATTAGTAAAGGCTGATAGTTTCTAAAGAAACTGTTTGGGGCTGCGTCGGTGGGGGTAACGAAGTAATTTCCATATATCAACAAAGTTGAAATGGTAAATTGGCCACCGTTACGATTATAAAAGCCGACGTTTCGAGCGTTAGCCCTTCGTCGGAGCGAATACAGGAATTGTGGGTTGTGTGTGTTTTTAAAGGCAGAAAATGGAGCTACGTGATTGTTGGGAACATGGCAACGAGAAAACCACGAATAAACTATTAGAATGAAAGCGTTCGTTGATACCTTTGGGATTTAGACTGCCGGTTTGAAAGATGAGCCTTTGTTCAAGAGTTTTACGGCTTCCCGTGCTACCCAAGTGTGAGAAAAGACCGCACATTGCCATATGTTGCTTAGAATGATAAGGTAAATTAAAATGCCTCGAGACTGGTTTCGATGTGTCCTTGTCATTCCTCTCCATGTCTCGAAGGTGTTCTCGGAATCGGTCACCTAGTCTTCTGCCTGTTTCGCCGATGTAAATCTTTTTGCAATAAGTGCAAGTTATGCAATAGATTACATTGGCGGAGGTACACGTGAAGTGATCGGTGATCTTAATGGATCGTTTGGGTCCCGATATTTTCTCAGTGAATGAAAGGACACGTTTGGCATCGTGCACGAGCGCATTTAAAAGTACCTGGTTGGTCATCAGTCTGAAAAGAACTTCTGACCAAAAACTTGCCTATGTTTTTGTCGGGTTTGAATGAAATGAGCGGAGGCTGCGAAAAGATAGTGCTTGTCTCTGGATCGTCTTGAAGTAATTTAAAGTTTTTAAGAATGATGGATTTAACTGAGTGGTTGTGAGGGTGAAACGTGAGAGTGAATGGAATGCGGTCGGAATCTTCCTTTTGTGACGTTTGTAGTGCTGAATGTCGATCAATAAGTTGGGAGCGGTGGTAACCCGTTCGAACGACAGAATCAGGGTAACCACGTTTATCGAAAAACTGGCACATTGACTCTGATTTGTGATGAAAATCAGAGTCATCACTAAAATAAACGACGAAGTCTTAGAAACTGAGAAAAAGGAATGGAATTTTTAACGTGAGATGGCTGCGAAGACGAATACAACAAGTAATTATGCGAGTCTGTAGGTTTGTAATACACACTAGTGCATAAACCGTTGCCTTCAATTGAAACTTAAAAAGGATTATCCTTTTTAGACATTCCTTGTTGATTTAGGATCACTGTACTTTGCATTTCCAAGTTGAACGTTGAGTGCTACTGTTATTGTCACGGGGGTTGGGCAAGGCAGCTTTCCTCTTTGCCATCGCTGGGTGCCTCATACATCAAGGGATGGAGCTGACATGTGTCTTGACAGTCTTGTTGCACTAGATAAACCGAGATCGCAATCGGCTAAAACCACAGCTACATCAGGAAAGGATGCAGATTTTCTTAAAAGAATAGGATATTTCTCTTTCCTTTGGTACTCAGGCTCATATTCTTGCGAACGAAACGGTTTCTTTCGTCTAACAAATCTCACGACACCAGCGGCTTGATTGACTTCTGGTTTCTTAAATCGTACCAGCTCTAGAATGGTTTTTCGAAAGCTGAGGTCCTTATAGCAGGACATTCGAATATATTTTCTAGAGAGTTTAACTGCATGACTGTCTTAATCAATCGAAAGACCTAGCCGTCGCGAATGGCCGCGAAAAAGGGTCCCAAAATCATTCCCGCGACATGTAGAAGAAATGTAAAAATCATTGTTCCAGTTATAAGACCAGTTGTCTTAGCAACTTTGGAGTCCAGCTCTGCCCTGACAAGAATGCTCACTTGACAACTTTGGCTAATTTCTACCTTTTGTTTTCGTAATATAAAGTAAGCCCTAGTGTAAAAATACACAATTAGAATTATGGAGGCTCCCCAGAAAGTACTTGGAATTATAGCTAATTTTTCAAATCCATCGACATCCTCACCAGTAATTGTTACGCTGCAGCAAGCTGCTACGACTATAGCAGGCAGCCAAGCCAGTATCGTAAGTTTCTTCACACGCCGCTGTGTCAGAATTAATTTGTATTCCCCTCCCCCCCCCCCCACTTTATGATTGCCACGTACCTTTCTCAAGTGATGACTGTCAGGTGAGAGAGGGTGGTCCAAGATGCACAGTACATATATCTTATTAACCAAGCGCGAGGGTCGTACTGGGAGAATATCGGCCCGAGGTCTTGACAGTACGGACCGAGCGCAGCGAGGTCCGTACAAAAAAGACCGAGGCCCGATATTCTTTCAGTACGGTCTCAAGCAAGCTTGGTTAATAAGAGATTTATTATACGGCTGAAGTTCAAAGGAACACAAGTGCGGTATCATTCGGGACCATTCGGGACAGTGCCCGGTCCAATACTTAGAGAATATTGGACCGGCAATAGAGCCTTTTGATTGGTTGATTTTAGTTACTGGCCCTCTGACTACCCGAGTCTTGTAATAAATCAAGGTTAGACCCACGAAGTCCAATATGCAGACATTGTCAAGGAAGGTGCGATGAGCAATTAACAAATCAACAGCCGCAGTTAAAGGCATAGATAATGCACCCATTAGTACGTCTACAATGGCCATGCTGCACAGCAGAAGAGTCGACAGTCTTTGTAATTGTTTCCTAGTTTTTACGGCTACAATCTCCAACGCTTTCAGAGGGACGATTACGGGAGAGGAAAAAACTGTGATATCAAACACTACCCAAGGAGGTGTGGTTTCGCTGAATTTCCTAGTAAAGTCTTGATGATACCAACAAGAAAACACCGAGCTCTCGTTGGCGCGGTTGACAATTTCTGAATCATTTAAATTCATAATGTAAAGGGCACTTGGGACAAAATCATTTTGTGAGTTTCGAGCGAAGGAATTGAGAACGTGATTCGTTCCGATCGTTTCTCTACCGTCAGTTAAAGCAATTCTAAAGAAGTTGCTCTATTCCTATGTCTCGGTTTGATTGCGTAGTAAGTTACTTCCCTTACTTAGTTGTCAAGTTGAGTAAACAAAAGAGCCCAATGCTACCAAGAATGTTTTCCGCACGAGTGTGAAAAGAAAAATGATTCGACAATGAAAATCTCTGTACTTCAGTAGCACCATTGGGTTAAAATGGAACACATCTGAGAGCTCCGAAATTACAAACGAAAAGAATTACTCATGTAAGGCAACCGATTTTCAGATTTCGAATCTCACCTGCTTGCTTGCCTTTCCCTAGTGTTATGCTGTTTTTTTGTTTTGCTTTGTTTTCATTTTTTTTTTTAGTGCAGTTTCTCTTGCCAACTTTTGATTTTTTTTCCATCCTTTGTTTTCTTTTAATTGTCGTATGTTTCAATTTTGAAACCTTTATTTCAATAGGGTAACTCCTTCAGTTTTTGTTCAAGATGAAAAAACTGCTATCCATCGAGACCCTACATATGTGATAAACTAAAATGAATAGAAATAATATTTTTTTAGTTTTTATAACTCTCCCCCATTTTTTTTATTTTTTTTATTTTTTGCACTTATGAGACCACAAAAGTTTCAAATTGCGTTTGATCTGCGGATTTTTTTCAATTTTCCCAATCGTCGGCAAAGTTTCCTCGCCAATGTTTTACAGTTTTTTTCTACTTCCCCGTTTTTGTTTTTGATTAATCCACCCTTACGAAAGCCTACCCACTGATCTTTGCTTTCTATGCTTTTTTTTTTGTGTCTTATTCGGCTGGTTCTCTTTTCTTCGCCTAAGTTTTTTGTCTGTTTTTTTTCTTACATGTCATAAGAGCTCGCACGAAGATTGAAAACAAATTGTCACAACTCTAATCTGGACCTGAAATCGTCCTCATAGATACCCTATTTTAATTTTTCCAATCTTCTGTTAAATTTCCTCCGCCAATGTTCACAGCTTTTTTCCACTTCCCCGTATTTGTTTTTGGTTTGATCCACCTCACTATATCCTGCCCACTGATCTTTCCTTTTTTTTCTAACTTTTTTCTAGTTCTCTTTCCTTCGTTAAGGCTTTTCCCAACCTCGTTCCCGGGGCTTTTCCCTTATTCAAAAAGGGAAAAGCCCTGGGAACGAGGTTAGGCTTTTCCGTATTTATCCTTCCTTACCACTATTTCATGTCATTTGTTTGAATAGTCCTCCCACAGTTTATTTTGTCCCCTCATAAAACAACAGAAGCACAGATAATTCAGTTAGTCTTAACGTCTCTGTTGGCGTAAAAAGAAAGGAAATATCTCCCTGTTATTTTACTGCTTTGTCATTTTCCTTTATCCTTTAAGAATAGATAGTTAATTGAAAATTTCTATAAAAGCTTTCGTGAATATTGTAACCAAACTACTGGCAGTTTACACTGGGCCTAAAATCGTCCTTGCAGATAACCAATAAAAGTTGATTCTCTAAGTAAAACCACTCGGAATCAGAATTGTTGAGTCCATGAAGAAAATAATATCAGCACAATTTTAAAGTTAGCTTACATCAAGCGAAATTGAGCAATATTTAGAGAAACATATACCTCATGTATTTTCAGCAAAAATCTTTGTTTATGTCCCCTCAGCTTGTAGCTCGAAACTAATAAAACAGCAATTTCATGATGCTAAACAATTAGTAAGGATTTCACCATGACTCTTAACTCGTAAATCCGAAAAGGAACACTAAAATGTAAGCTATATGTGTACTTTAATTTAGACATTGTGAGTTACTCTAAGTTTATCTAGGAATTTCGGCAAATACTTTAGTGAACAACATTATTAGAGGATCTACCGAAGTGCACGCGAAAATTTATATCTAATGTAGGTCTAAGTAGACAAGAAACATGGGCATCTTGTGATGTCTTTTACTGCTTTTCTTACTCCACGTATTCTCCAGCAGTAAA